CGCACGGCGGTAAGGCACTGCTCCGTCCTGAACGTGCGCTGTGGTTAAGTACCTAATAATTCATGGTGGTGCCTGCTGATAATCTGCTGAGGCTAGCGTGTTGCAATTCCCCTCTAAACAATTAAAAAATGCTTGTGTTAGTGACTGCAGCGATGGAAACCACATTCATACGTTTCAAATGGGCAGATAGTGCTGGCGGCCGAAACGTAGAGTCCGCTTATGCCTATCACCAGCCTTTTGGGTAAATCAGAGTGGACTCACCTGAACGCCAACGTGTGCAGGAGTCATTTGGAGCACATTGCGGTGGTTTCTGAACGCAGCAAAGTTGTCATGCATTGAAATCGAGATGTCACAGCAGGCGACTGGAAGGTGAATTGAAGATCTTGAGCGGGAAGGTGGCATGTGGACTGGCGCTGCCTGCCGAAATTTAGGCGGAGGAGCAGCTCAGAAAAGGCTGTCGCTCATACTTATTTCGCATTCGATTCTCCCATTGATTGCCATAGGGTAAATGGTCAACATTCTCGGACGGCGGAGTGCCATTGAACCGACGGAACCCACGTTTCTATGACTGGATCCGAAAAGGCACAAGTTAATTCATTTCCCCGGCTCAAATGTGTTCGTTTCTCTCCTATATCATGCGTGACCATTTTGCGGTTTATTTTAGACAAGTACATGTTTCATGACATGTACATCTAGTTGCATGCAAACATTGTTTCAGACTGGCAGGCGGTTAGGTAGCGCGTTGGCCTCAACATACCCTCTTGGTATGTGTCTAATAATACGTGATGGTCCACCATGGCAACCTGGCGAGGAATGCATGCTTAAATTGCTCTCTAAACATTTTTAGATTGATTTCCCCTAATGATTGCATGAGTTGAAACTACACTGACGTTTGAAATGGGCGCATGATGCTGGCAGCCGAAACGCAGAGTTCGATAACTCCTATTTACCGGCCCTATGGGTGACTCAGGGTGACCCCAACCGGATGGCACTCCGTTCAGGAATTATACAGGGGCTTACAGGAGTGATTTTGAGTGCCGCAGTGTTGGCGCGTGGAAGACGCGCTTCCAGTTCCTTCCGCTTGGACCAGGGACATCGAGGGACCTGGTGCGGAGGCGGCGTGGTATGTAGGCAGACACGCATACATTCGAGCATGTGGGTTAGGGTATGCACATTGGGAGAACAGCGTTCCCCACTTGATTACGACTATCATTCAACTCTGCGAAGCAATGTCTTTTTATAGGTGTTAATGTTTGTGGTCTCTCGTTGAAAAATGAGAAGCACGTTTATTTTAATTTGCCCTTTAACATGTGGTATATATATGTATATATATATATATATATATATATATATATGCGGATGTATTGCATATGTATATATGTCCAACCATTGTGATATTTTTGACGACAGACAGACGAATCTCGCAAAACTTGCATGCTACCTTGGCTGCACGTTGGCGCGACACGAGTTGGAGTGCAGTAGGTGACTGGTGGAAATGGTGTTGTCATGTTGTTTCGGACCTACCACGGACTACGTGCATCTGCATGTTCCATTACACATCACACTAATAATCTTTGTAATGTTGTAGTCAGCTGGCTAACCTCACCTCTGCCGCCGTTGCATTCGAAGCTGAAGGGTGCTGAAAAGTAAATTACTCTGGCTGGTAATCGAAACGTCAACATGGGCTACCAACGCCATAAAGACGCATGGATAATACGAAAGATGCAATGCAACATACTTCACAATTGGCAACGCCTCAGCCGTACAGCCGTCCTCGTCATTGAGATGTTTGGATATACTTAGGCTATTAGACACATGATGTGCCATCTGCGCTCACAACTACCTACCACAAAGCAATTCAAGGTTAAGAGTTAGTCAAGGCCGGGTAATAATACACGCCTCACCGCCTCAATGCGTAATAAGTGATTTTCGTAATTCGTCACTTGCCTCCATGCGCGGGCCCCTGTATGCCACTTCTCCGTATGGATGTGATTGCATACCTTTGTGTCTATGGCTGAAAATCCCCTTCGTATGTCCCGGAGTGTTATTTCTACATGTCATACAGCTGGCGCCTCCTTGGCGCGCGGCATGCGTGCACTGGCCCATGGTATCACTGCCCTCTCCCCACTCAATTTCTAAGCGCACGCTTTCTTGAAAACGACGGACACACACCATCGGCTCCCTCTCCCTTGACGTATCACACTACATTCCGACAGCTATCATGATATTCTGTCATTTGTCGCGGTGTCTCGGTGACGTCTACGCCTACTCCATCGGGCATTTCGTTTCAAGAACATGTGTAATAAGCACCGAACGCTACGCTCTCTGCTGCGCTTGCCCTGAGCACACGGTGAACCTCCAATACTGAAGACATCGTGAGCCGGTGAAGCGAACTGTGCATGTACAAATATTAAAAATTCCAGTATCGTCGTTGAATATCCATCGGTCTTACTTGAAGTAGGGTTCACCGCATCTTGGCTTACGTGGTTGCAGCGATAGGTGGCCTTGGGCGATCATCTGACCGTTCGCGCCAATCTGCCTGTCGCCAATTCGCGCCAATCTGCCTTGTTAAGTCGTTGACCTATGGCAGGCAATGTCTAGGGAATCGTTCAATGTGATGCAGCATTTCAGTGTTAGGCAATTTCGAAGTCATTGGTCGCAGGTATCGTAACAGACAGTCCATGAAATGCGTTGAACGTCAGAGTAGGTCACTGACCTAGAATGACCCAGGTCGGCATTTTGTTTAATAATTATACAGCCTAACGTAATACCTGAGGCTTATTCGCATGACAAAATGGGGCAATCTTGTAAGTGCCTGGTCAATTTAACCTCATCAAAATCAAACAAGGCCACTGACCTCATTGACGTTTTGCTTAGAACAGGTATACAGCCTCACGGCGGTTACATGAGAAGTTCTGGAGGCACTTAGAGACACCAGTTTGAAGTTTAACTCGGTTTGACCTAATGTAGCCCCAAGGTCCGGACCTATCAACCTATCGACAAAAGTGAGTTTGGTAAGATAAACGCTGTGAATTTTGTGTCCCTGGCTATCTCAGTTTTCGAGATATCGCCGAGTCAAACTGACCCTCCAACCGAACAAATCGTATTAAGCCGGCCACCTGGGCACGTGTTAAAAATAGTTACCGCTAATGATTGGAGCGATGGAAACCATTTTGGCCGGGTTGAAACTGACTGATAGTGCTGTCGGCCGGAACGTTAAGAGTCAGCTCATGCCGATCAGCGCCCGAATGGTGCTCAGAGTAGACCCACGTTAATGACATTTGACGAAGGAATGGTTAGTTCACTATTGCCATGATAATAGCGAAATTTCATGCGTATGCTTAAAATGTTGTTTGCTAGTGATTGCATCGATCGAAACCATAACGACACGTTTGAAATGGGCAGATAATGCTGGCGGCCGAAACATAAAGTTCGCTTATGCCCGTCAATGATAACCTTTTAAGTCCCTATTGGTAACTCGGAATGGACTTATCATAATTGCATGTTGATCAGAAATCACTTGGAAGACAGCTGGAAGCAGCTTACCTCACGCAGCGAATTTGTCATGCAACGAAGGTGGAGACTTCATAGCAGGTGGCAGGTAGGTAAACTGAAGAGCTGGGCTGGAAAGTTATAAAAAACTGGCACTGGCACTGGAAACAGACGAAGGAATGGCACAGAACGTAATAGTGCCTAAATTCACCTTGTAGTCGTTTCTTCCCATCTAATGCCATAAGCTTAATGCTCAACATTCTCAGAAAGTGGGATGCCATGGCACTCACAAACCTTCCGCCGCCTAGGAACCATAGGAACATTTCAATTGATTCCCGTCCCAGACAAATTCCTTCATCTTGTTCGTCAGGTGCGATTGCTGCCCTTTTCCAGATAAACAGAGTTTCATGATATATCCATATAGCTCCATACAAACCTTGTTTCAGACTCGCAGACAGTTAGGCACTGCGTCGGCCTTAAGTTACGCTTTGGCGGAGAGCCTTATAACCCGTGTTGATTCTTGCCGATGACCTCCCACGGCTGGAATATCGAATTTTCTCTTTAAATAAGTCCAAAAAAGGTTTCCACTGCTGTTCGCACCGATGAAAACCATATTGGAACGTTTCATTATGGACAGATAACGCTGGCGGCCGAAACGTTAAGAGTTATATTTCTATCACCAGCACTGTAAGTAAGTTTGCTGCTGCTGTGTTTCTCTTGGGTGTTGGCTTGTTTTCCCTGCGTCATATGTGACCATGCAACTAAACATGTTTCCGTTAAAGACACGCTGTATGGTGGGTATATGCTTATTAGCCGGCAAACAAACATTTTCTTTTCTCATTCTCGCTGGTGGTTAGGCAATGCGTCGACCTGGACGCACGCTGTAGGTATGTACCCGTGGTGGTCCGCGGCAGTAATCTTCCAAGGATTGCCCATTTCAGTCGTCTGCAGGCACTGCACGTATGGTGTCCGTTGGTGAGTGTACCAATGGAAAATATATGATGTGAAAATATATGATCTGCCATCAGTTTGAAAATGCTCAGAGAACAAATGCAATATGCATCGCTCGGCAGATTACTACCGCGGACCAACGCTGCTTATTAGGTACATACCCGCAGCGTACATTCAAGCCGACGCAATACCTGCCCGCCTGTGAGCATGACACAAGGTTCGCATGCTGCTATACGTGAATGTCATGAAACGTGTGTTTATTTGAAAAATCTAGTATGATAGTCACACATGACATGAGAGAGAAGCCATCACATTTGGGACGGGGAAAGTCCATCACGTTGTACCTTTTGGGCTGCAAGCGTAGAAACGTGTGATTTCTACGTTTAATGGCACCTGCCCCCCCCCCCCCCCCCAGTATTTCGTGTAAGTCTGATGTGTGACTCGCAGTATTTCGATGAGTGTTCCAAAACACCAGATCACGCAACAACTGCGCAATAGACGAAGCAAGGTAAGCATTGCACTCAAACAGCCTCCTTTTGCGTAAATGACTAGTGAAGACAAACGAAGAAGACAGGAAATCATTCCATTGGCTTCAATGCGTAGGCTAATGACGTCATTAATTTTTGTTCGGTGCTTCTATCGCTCACGATGTTTTCCCCAACGCAATGTGAGCAGACCTGATCCCTTTGCAACCTTTTGAAGTGTTGAAAGGAAGCGGGGAATCTGCTCGTTGGAGCTGAGTGGCGATCCCGCGCCAGGGTTCCAGAGCCGAGGGGTAGGTGTGGGGATTTATCTTGGATTTATCCGTCTTGATGTCCATCACGACTCACGAGCCTACCGGCGTTGACCCTGTCTTGGTCCCGTCGTGCTGCTCTTGTGCTGTGGTTTTCAACTAGCCCCTCTGTGGATGCCCGTTATCTGTCATTGTTATTCATTATGTGTATAGTTTGAGCTCTGTAAATATTGCTTTCATGCAATTGCTGTTTTTTGTAATCATTGCTTGTAATTGCTATAGCTTGCTATTGTGTGTGTCTGTCACATTTGCTGCTATACTCACCTTATGCAATATGCAGTTAACAGTTTTCTGCGGATATCATCCCTACCAATCATACTTGCATGCTGATGTGTACTTGCTTGTAAATCTCCAGGTAATTCATGTTCTTGATTTTGTTGTGCATGATTTACTGAAAAACTCACATGGGTTTATCAAGTGCAGATTTGATAGCTTGCAGTTAGTCATTGCTGTATATGTTAAGTGCAATTCTATGTACATGGGGCATCAGTAAGATGCTTAAGAGGAAGCATTGAATGCTTTTGCACCTCAAAGATACAGTGATAGCACCCAAATGGCAATGATTTGCATGCAGTGCTGCAGTCATATGACATAGCATGACATAAAGGAAGCACCATCCCAAAGTCTCTCCCCCTGGTACAGTCCTCCAGAATTTGACACAATTTTTCTGTTGAGAAAAATACTCATCATTGTGTCACAATTTGATTGTGATCATAGAGGTGTCACTTTCTGAAATATGGCTGAGGGTCTTAGCCCGAAAAGTTACCTTATTCCCCAAACTGATGTCTTCTAGGATGTTGGCCAATTGAATTTGCATCTTTGATGTTGAAGTAAAAACATTCATATTTCATAGATTTAAGATTGTTTCCTGCAGGGAAGCAACTCCCCATTTCAAGTTAAAGGGAGCATTTCACATTTTAAAGGTGTTTTGAACTGAAGTGCCCATTTTGAAGACCTTTTGGTGCTGTTTACAACCCTGCCCTGGAATACTAAAAGACTTACTGGCCTAACATATCAAGGAGAGTTTGTATGTATTTGCATTTGTTTGTGTTTGTGTTTGTGTTTGTAAACCACATGATACAAACATACTACCAACAGGCTTCATTTGGTACAAAATGACTGTCAATTGGCTCTCAATGTACTAGGTATGATGATGTGGTCAAACCATGATGCATTTAGGAGCATATTTGCTGAGCAGAGAATTGGGCTGTCTCTAGAGCAGACTTTTCCTCTTAAAAAGCATACCAATGATTATAACTGAACTTGTTTCATCATTTCTGATGCTTTCTTCAGTATCTTCAGATATGCAAAATTCCTTTTATAGTGGGCTGCCCAATTGTGGAAAACTTAGAATGCAGTGCAATCACGGAGAACATTGTAGTAAATCTGAAAAAAGGATCTTTGATAACTGCTGATTGTGTTGTATAACTGCTGCAGCAACAGTTATGTGGCAAATGCTTTTGCCACTGTTGGGGAAACCATGCTTCAACTTTTGTTTTCTGAGCCACCCCTTGCTTTTAAAAGCTGCCACATATTGCCATTTGTGTGTTTTCACAATCCAAGCATTATCATTTAAAAAAAGACTTGTCAGAAATTCACAGACTGGCTTAACATATGATAGAGTTGGCATGATACAAGCATTGGCAACCTACAGGCTTCATTTGGCACACAATTAACATAATATTGATGGTGATATGTTTAGGTTGATACTAATTATAACAATACCCAAGATAACTGTTCTGTCTTGATTTAGCCCAGTATTCCCACAGCTCAAATGCAGTGATCGGTTTGAGAAGAATTTGAATGCTCAATGCAGCATTTGGGGGTGGATTTCAGGCCCCCCAAAGTATGTAAAGTGATGCCCATGTGTCATTGCACCTTGCACGGCAATGATTAAGAGGCATTTAACAGCTAGTGTATCTGAAAATCTTGCTTACTAAGTTGACAGTTATATTTCTCTTGCTCTCGATTTCCATATTTTTGGCAGAATTTGGCAGGAATGGCAGAAGAAAATGAAATGGCAGGGTTTTAGTGACTTAATTATGGCATTATGGACTGATATTAGTGACTTCAAAATGGCCTCTCCAAAACAGTACACATCTTCACAGTTGCATAGCTCAGAAACTGGAGGGGTTTAGGTCTTAAAAAGGGCAGGGGTGTCAACTGCACTGAGTGATCATTCAAAATGATTTTTTCAGTTCAGAACCCTGTACAAGTGTGGAATAATCCCTTTAAGCCAACCAAACTTTTCCCAGACTGAAAGGAGCTGCCTGCCCTGTGGGCTTCACTTCCGTCGATCATGGACGAGGAGAGCTCGTCCTCTGAGGAGGACGTCTCGTCGATGGTACTCTCCGATCCCTATCACCGCAAGTACGCGGCTCTGAAGCGGCGATGTCAGATCGTGAAGCAGGTCAGTGTTGGCACCATACACTGGGCGGCAGGGTGGCTGCGGACCTGTGACCACTGGAGCTGTTGCTGGAGGTGTTCACAGTGACAGACACTGTGGGGCTGTCGCTGAAGTTGTTCGCAGCGAACGACACTTTGGGACTGTTGCTGGAGGTGTTCACAGTGGCCGACACTTTGGGACTGTTACTGGAGGTGTTCACAGTGGCCGACACTTTGTGACTGTTGCGGGAGGTGATCATAGTGAAGCACTGTGGGGCTGTTGCTGGAGGTGTTCAGAGTGGACGGCGGCGATGGGGGACGCGCGCGGCCACCAGCTGGTGAGGCTGAAACTGAAAGCTCTGGTATGTTTCGCTGGTTTGCAGTCGCGCTTAGCACTGGACTGTTGCCCTTCGAGGCGCCTTCTCAGCCTTGTTTTCTCATTTTCTCGGCATCACTGGCATTGTCTTGCTCGCGTTTGGTCTTTTCACCCGCGTCGCACCTTTATTTTTCGTGGTCTTACCCTCCCTGATGACCCACGCCCCTCCCCCATTCACCCTCCCTCGTCCATGGCCTATGCCGCCTGGGTGCCCTGTCCCCGGCGCTCCGACTACCCCCACATGACCGGCCGGCCGGCTGCGCCACCGCCGCAGGAGAACCGGCGGCTGGTGAGCCGCGTGTACCACGTGCAGCGGCTGGTGCGCCGGTGTCGGCGCGAGTGCCGGCTGGTCACCGACCGGCTGGACCAGCACGGCGACGACTACCGGGCGGCGGCGCTGCGGGCGCCCGCTCCGGCGCCGCCGCCGCCTGAGCGGGCTGACGAGCCGTCGGAACCGGTGAGACTCGGACTGACCTAGCGGACGGGCTAATGTGACTGAAGTGATGCTGAGATTACCGGCTTGTATACGTCGGGCGTCGTGCGGTATGTTGGCGATGTGTTTTATTTCATTGGCGGCGGCTGCAGCAATGAAGGGGTCTCATCGACAACCACGCGAAATGGCGAAGGCTGTGGAAAACTTATCCGAAACGATCCGGTGGTCGCCCGTATTAAACGGGACATTAGGCCTTTACTTTAAGCGAGTGGCGGTCCGAACAGCCAGGACTACATCACTGTGGATCGCAATGGCAGCTAATACATAAATTAGAATGGCTCTCCATGAAGCACAATATTAATTCACATCATGCCATTCTTCACCGAAGAACATTTCATGGGAGGGCTCCAGTCGGTCGTCGTTAACCGTAACAGGATCGTGAATCACGCGACACGCTGTTCCGAGCAGCCTGCCAGGAGAGGCAGGGGTGCAGCGCCCCGTTCAGTTGGGAGAAGCGGAGGTTGTAGCGCCCCCCTTCCCGCAACCATCTTTGGCTTCAGCCACCCCCAACGTTGAGGAAAAAGGACCAAGTGCAGGGAGGAACCCGTTTCCTGGCGTATTTTCTGCCTAGGTTGTGCCATTTTTCACTCTTCAGTCCCCCTTTCCAACTCATTTTGTGAGGCAACGTCGTGAGGAGAGGCCTCCTTCAGGGAGAGAAGGGCGTGAGGGCTAAGGCTCGCCACGTGGGCGGGTTTGTTGTCCTGTGTGCGTCACCGCTGGGGAGGTCGACGCTCGGGGTGGAGCCACGGGCCGCTGGGGCAACAACCAAGTGATTACGGAATGGAAGTTCATCACCAAGCCTTCTTTTGCGCTCCCCGCAGGGGCACCGGCTTCGGTCGGTGTAGGGGACTAGCGCCCCCTTGTGTCCCAGCTCCGGTAACGGGTGGACAGCGCAAGCTGGTCCTCTCAGGGCGTAGCGACCCTGCCGGTACGTGAGCTCCTGCTCCTTGTCCCGCCCGCTCCCTCCACATTACCCGCGCTCCCGCATCCGGCCCTATCACCACTCCTCATCCTCGTTTTATTGGGGTCGCCGTGCCCCCTCGCCCACGTCCCCGGGTTGATCGGATCCTGGTGGCTGAGGGGCGCGTCGTGAGGGTCAGTCACGGCGCGCCCCAACACTCCACTTTGGCCAGGATATCCGGGGGCGTGGGGGGAGGGGGGCCGTGGGGTCCCACACGGGTCTAGCGGCTTGTCACTCGCGTTGCGGTTGGGTGCCCCTTGCGGGTCTCCGTTTGGGGCGCCTGGCCGCGCGCAGCGGCTTAAGGGGTCAAGGGGCGGCGGCGCTGAACCACGGTCAGGACGGGGAGGGGTCTCCCCGGTTACACCTGGCCGTGTGGGAGGCGTCGTTCACCCCGTATAGCACCGGGGTAGCCCTGGCGGTGACCACCTCCCGAGGGAGTGTTGGGCCGTCCCCCTGCTGGGCTCCGAGGTGGGTGGGGAGCCTCGGTGCCAAAATGAAAACCACCTTTTATGGCTTCTTCTAACACTAAAAACACCCGTCCTCCGAAAGGGGGACGGACCTCGATAACCCCAGGGTGCAGAGGAGTATCTGTGCTTCCCGGTCCACGGATCCTAATCTTCGGTAGTTAAGAGATGAAGCTGGATTCCCTCTCACCGTTCCAGAGACGGAACGGCTGCGACAGGTTTGGAAAAATCATCAGATGCGACAAGCTTAGGGATGGAAAAATTGAAGTAGAGTTCGCGAGTAGTCTGGAGGCGAGTAGGGCCATGACAGCCAAGGAATTTACGTATACTGTTCGGGATGAGACTGGCAAGCACGAAAAGACAGTGTCCATATCAGCAACACCACATAAGCCAAAAATTCCTCCATGGGCGTAGTCAATTGTTTCGATCTCCGTGACGTCGCCGAGGACGAGATAGTCGAAGAACTCTCAGAATTTGGTGTGACGGGCGCTCGCAGGATTCTCGTCAGACGGGGAGGAGAGCTGCTGCCCATCAACAACCTCATTCTAACGTTTAGTTTCACCGATTTGCCGGCCGAGATACACGTTGGATACGCTCGGGTGAAGGTTCGCCCCTATGTGCCTAACCCCATGCGGTGCTATCAGTGCCAGCGATTCGGCCATACCAAGCTCCACTGTCGTAACCGCCCAGCATGTAGTAAATGTGCATCATTCGAGCACACGAGCGAGGTTTGCACCTCTGCTGAACCCCGTTGCGTCAACTGCGGTAAGGACCAGGTCCCACACACGACATACGACCATACATGTCCGGCCTACGCAAAAGAAAAAGAAATTATATCGATCAAAACCTCTAGAAATATCTCTTTTCGTGAAGCTCGTGAACTTTACAACGACAGTCATCCAAAAACATCGTATGCGTCCAAAGTGAAAACTTCGTTCCCATAAAGTAATACCATCGAGCACATGACGGCCGTTCAGTTCGTGGGACTTCTGAGGTCGTTTGGCCTGTCGGTTGTCCCCTCGGTCCGAACGCCCGACTCCCAGTCGGCACCCCAAGCTCCCTCTCCGCCGATCGAGCAGTCGGTGGACGTCGCACCGCTGGCCTCCTCGGCGCGCGCCGGATCACCAGCGGGCGACGGTTGGACGACGGCTCGGCGTGGTCGGAGTCCCCGCGCACCGCCGGCCTTGCCTTCGTCTGCGACCCAATCGGTCCCTTTTGCCACAGACACCTCTTGCCAGTGCCTGTGAGCGTGTGGCAGAGACGCTGGAACGTCAGGAAGCTGACAGGAGCTCCCGCGAGGCCAAGCGAGCGCGCTTGGCCGAACTGGAGCGCGCTAAGGCGGCAAGCCGCCTGTCCGGGGCAGACAAAGAGCCCGTCCCCCGAAACAGCACTCCATCGCCACGGAAGCCGGTGGAGGCCCCCGCTGGTGCCCCGATCCCCGGTAGAGGCCCACCGATGGGCCCTCCCCCGCCTCCACCCCGGACTGGGTACGCTGGCGTAAAGCGTGCCACAGCCGACCCCCCTTCTCCATCTGACGGAGGTAGCCCAAGATTCGTCCTAGGGTGGGGCACGGCCGTCCGGAGTTAAGCCGAAACTCTCGATCTGAGGCGTCTGGACATGCTACTGGCGCAGCCGAGTTCTTTTAAGCCGGGATTGTTTTAGCTTCTCACATCTTACCTCGTTTTTGATACGCCCTTTTACAGGCGTTTTTACAGTGGAACTGTAGAGGAGTAAGGGCGAACGCCCTCGATCTCGAGGCTGTCGTCAGCAGAGTCTCTCCTGCAGCCGTGGCGCTGCAGGAAACCAAGCTAGCGCCTGACAATTTTTGCTCTCTGAAAGGATATGCGATGTTTCGCAGCGACGTGTTGACGGAGAGCATTGCTCACGGTGGCGTCCCCCTGGCAGTTCACCATAGCGTGCCAGCGAGGAGGTTAAGCTTGCGGTCCACACTTCAAGCTGTGGCCGTGCGGCTTTATTTCAACCATTGTCACATCACTGTTTGCTCACTTTACCTTCCACCAGGCATCGCTTTTCCGTTGGCGCACCTGAGATGTCTGCTGGCTGAACTACCTTCACCACTTCTAGGCGATTTTAATGCGCATCACACCGCATGGGGGTGTGACGTTACCAATGCCCGTGGGAGGCTGTGTGAGAATTTTATCCACGGTGCTTCACTATGTATTTCAAACACAGGAACTCGTACGCATTTTACAATGCCGTCCGGTCAGACGTCAGCGCTAGACCTAAGCCTTTCCAGTCCCCAACTCGTCCAACACCTCGGGTGGAGTGTCGGAGATGACGCCATGGGAAGTGACCACTTCCCAGTGTGGGTCCGGCTTAAGAGAGGTGGAGCGTTGAGTGTTAGACCACAACGCTGGAATTTTAAGAAAGCGGACTGGGGCGAATTTGAGACTCGGCTCGACGAATCGTTTGTAATTGAGGCTGTGAGGACTGTACCCTCTATTGAGGATTTTACCCACATACTTTTAGAGTGTGCCAACAGCTGCATCCCACGCACGTCTGGCGCTCCCCGACGTACTCCTGTTCCATGGTAGGACGGAGGAGTGTCGGAGCGCCATCCGGGCGCGTAAACGTGCATTTCGGACCTTTGACGCCAGGAGCAGTACAGAAAACCTCGTAGCCTTTAAGAAGGCGAGAGCTTTTGCTCGGCGCACCGTAAGGGAGGCGAAGCGTGCTTCCTGGCATGCTTACGTGAGTACGCTGAACCGCTTCACGCCAACATCGCAGATTTGGGCCCGAATCAAGCGTATTTCGGGTCAGTTTTCACCCATAGCTCTGCCTGTGCTGTGTGTGAACGGCCAGGCTGTGACGCGCCCGTTGGATGTCGCGAATGAGGTTGCTCGGGCCCTGGCCCAACGCAGCGTAGGTGGCAACACTAACCCACAGTTTGTGCGGCACCGAGCGCAATGTGAGCAATCCGCAGTGGATTTTTCAACGAGTGAGCTGCATTCATATAATGACCCTTTCACGCTGGTGGAGTTGGAATCGGCGATCGCCAGGCTTCGCAGCGTGTCAGAAGGCCCGGACACTGTCCACAACGATATGCTTAAGCATCTGCCGCGTCGCGTGCTTCGCGTTTTATTAGCGGTATTCAATTCGCTTTGGACCAGAGGTGAATTCCCAGCTTCCTGGCGAGAAGCTACTGTCGTGCCTCTCTTGAAACCGGGAAAAAGTGGGTCTAAATCCCTTGCATTATAGACCCATTTCTCTTACGTCATCGCTCTGTAAGTTGATGGAGAAGATGGTTAATGTCCGTTTAACCTGGTTTTTGGAGTATAACGGTATTTTTACAAACGTACAGTGTGGTTTTAGAAGAAATCGCAGTACGGTGGATAACCTTGTAGTTCTTGACACTGCGATTCGTGAGGGATTCAAAGCAAATCGACACACTGGCGCTGTCTTCTTTGATATAGAGGGCGCCTATGACACAACATGGCGTCATGGTATTCTTGTCAAGCTATATAAGTATGGTATACGCGGCAATATGGACACTTTCCTTCGGAACTTTGTAGTTGACCGTTATTTCTGTGTCCGTGTTGGGAGCGTGCTCTCTGAGAGGCGCCATCAAGTTAATGGTGTGCCGCAAGGTGGCGTCCTGAGCGTATCACTGTTCGCCGTTATGATAAACGATATCGGGGTTGGGCTGCCGCATTCTGTAGGTCGTGCCCTTTTTGTTGATGATTTTACCGTCTGGACTAGCGCAGCAAGAGCTTCATCGATGGAGTGGCGTCTTCAGTTGGCTGTGGATCGTATCGAGAAGTGGGGCACCACAAACGGGTTCAGGTTTTCTAGCAACAAGACTGTAGCCATGCATTTTTGTCGTAGTCGGCAATGCGGCAATATGTCTATCCGTCTGTGTGGCCAAGGCATCCCAACAGAGCCTGTGGCTAGATACCTTGGGGTATACCTTGACCGCCGACTAACATATAAGGCACATGTTAAGACGCTACGTGAACCGTGTTTCAAATCCTTGAACATACTAAAATGTGTCTCGCGCACATCGTATGGGGCAGATAGAAGCACGCTTCTGCTATTGTATCGCTCAATCATACGTTCTGAGCTGGACTACGCATGTTTTATTTATGATACCGCGTGTGAATCCACCAAACGCGTCCTGGACACCGTCCATCACACCGCATTACGTATAATCACAGGAGCGTTCCGCACATCACCTGCCGCGAGCCTCATGGTGGAATCGCACGAGCCGCCCTTGTCATCGAGAAGGAAAATGCTCGGTATGCGTTATGCACTTAAGTTGCGACAGTTCCCCTCCCATCCGGCATATAACGCAGTTTTTTCACGGCCTGCTGTGCATTTTCGTCACAGTGCACCTCGGGCATATGCTGTAACCTTTAGGCCTCCGAATACAAGCCTTGCTACGGGAAAGCGAAATTCCCATTCGAAGGTTGAAGCGGGTAGACCATCTGTCCACTGCTCCCTGGCGTATGATCTCGCCATCAATAGATACGTCTTTGACCGAAATGAAAAAGAATGTCGTCTTGCCAGATATAATGAAGTCGAGGGCACTTGAGCGTATGGCGTCATATGACGGTTACACACTTACTTATACGGACGGATCGAAAACTTCTGGCGGTGTGGGCTGTGCGTTCGTGAGCGGCGGCGTCATTCGGTCGTTTTCTCTGCCTCCACACGCGTCGGTGTTCACATCGGAGTTGGTAGCGATATCCAAGGCGTTGTATTTCATCGAAGTCGGTGATGAACCTTTACATCTGATTTTGACAGACTCTCTGAGCAGTGTTCTTAGTCTGAGGTCTTTTTATCCATCATATCCCCTTGTACAGGATATTTTAGGACGTTTGACTCAACTGGATGAGGCCCGAAAGAAAGTTATTTTGTGTTGGATCCCCAGTCACATTGGAATCGCCGGCAACGAGGTGGCTGACGCGGCTGCAAGGCGAGCAGCGCTGGCTCCATGTGTACGCTCCCTTTCTATCCCTGCCAGATATTTTTACCCTGCAATAAAAACGTTTCTGCAGAATGAATGGCGGCGTTGTTGGGATGGGATAAATGAAAATAAGCTCAGAGCAATAAAACCCAAGCTGGGCCAGTGGTTATCATGTTCTCGCAAAGTCAGGCAAGAAGAGGTGGTGCTCTGCAGACTACGCATTGGGCATACGTATGCAACTCACGGTTATTCGTTGCAAGGAGCCGAAAGACCTATCTGTCGTCGATGTGGTGCTGTTCTCACCGTTCGTCATGTGCTTGTATCATGTCCGCGCCTCATGGAAGAACGTCGACGATACTTTGGACAGCGTGACTCGTCCTTGACGCTCTGTGACATTTTAGGAGACAACTCGCGCCTTCTTGAATCTAAACAGGTATTTTTATTCCCTAAACATATCAACTTCGGGACTCTTCACACGGTCCATTAGTTAGGTAAAGCAAAAATCGTTATGGGCGCCAAATGACCACCGCAGTCGGCGCGCCCGAAAACACCAATCAACAACAACAACAGCAACTTCTTTTGCGCTACAGTCGTCATGAGCAATGGCCGTGGTGATGCCTCAAGAGTAAAATGCGTCGTGAGTTAACGCTTATCATATCCAGGCGTCACGTCCGTTGCAGAACCCGAAGGCGCGCCTGAAGGCAGAAAAGAAGGCGAAGAAGAAGCTGAATGAGCCGAAGAAGCCGTCCAACCCGTTCTTCCAGTACTGCCAGGAGCAGCGCTCTCAGCTGCTCTCCCAGATGAAGGTGGGTCATCCGCTCTAACATTGGCCTGAATCGGCGGGGCAGGGAAGGGAGCCGAGGGCGGTGGCTGGTGCTTGTCAGGCGCGGCCTCCGTTTGGCCTGGCAGTCGCGACAGGTCCAGCTGACCGACGGAAGGGAAGGCAAGGGGATTGCACGGAGATGCGTGGTGAAACAAACAGCATGTCGGCTCAGCGGCGGGGGCGGTACCGGTGGTTATAACGAGGTGTAGCGCCATGCTGCTGCCTGGTGCCTGTGCGTTGTCATTCGCGCCTGCGGGCGGCGTCGATATGACTTGCTTAGCACACCATCAGCGCACTTGTTGACAACATCGATATGACCTGCTGAGCACACTGTCAGTGCGCATAGTTGACAACATCGATATGACCTACTCAGCGCACTATTAGTACGCATAGTCGACAGCGTCGATATGACCTACTCAGCGCACTATCAGTAGCGCATAGTTGACAGCATCGATATGACCTGCTCAGTGCACTATCAGTAGGCATAGTCGACAGCATCGATATGACCTACTCAGTGCACTATCAGTACGCATAGTCGACAGCATCGATATGACCTGCCGAGCACAATCTCAGTGCGCATAGTCTACATCATCGATATGACCTGCTGAACACACTCGGTTTGCGTAGTCGAGGCTGCTTCGTTGTCATGTCGTCCACAGAACTCTGGCGGTCTCAGCAAACAGGGCTTGACAAAGCAGCTGGCTGCCAATTGGAGTCTCATGTCTTCCGACGAAAAACAGGTATGTAGACGCTTCAAATTTGGCCGCCACCCAACAGAGCGAGTGACGAGTCAGAGCAGATGCCGTCCCCCGTCCCCCTTCCCCTCCCCCACGCGCGGTATAGACGATACCCCAGGTCCCGTGCGACGTTCAGGAGGCACGCCAGTGGAGCATGCGCGACGTAGTATCAGATACGTCACATTAAAGCGGGTGCCACCCGCCCCTGTAGTATGTTCACACAAACCCCCGGGGTGGGTGCCTTTCCACAATAGAGCCGTGTGTTGTTGCTTTAGTACCCATCGACTGCAGGGGTCATTGCAGGACAGGAAATCCCATCGGAGAAGAGTCGATTGCAAGCGAGCTGACGCAACTTTCGGTTAGTCACGGTTGCTAGGCATGCTCGGCTAGAAACTGGAGACGATCTTCTTCCCTCGCTCCACAGATGCCCCATCTAGAAGACACACACAACTTCAGCTTTATTCACTTGATAACTGAAGACTGGCTCGTTGTCGAATTGCTTGCAACTATTATTACACGCACGACATCACCCTGAATGTCCAGAGTAGGGCTGTGAAGCATGCAACCACTTCCCTCTGAACTTCATTGGAACACTTTTTCACTAAGCTCGTCAGCTCTCATTTCTTTCACATTGAGAGAAGCAGACCAGCTCGAAAGCTGTCGAGGGACATAATGGGTTTAGGTGCCCAGAAAACAGTGAAAGAAACTTTCATCAGTAAGCGTGATGACGTAGGTTCGTGGAAGAGTAACCTCCGCTGAAAACCTCACATGCCTGTTCAGGATACTCAAGCACGGCGCCGCTCGCCGCCTCGCCGCCCTCGTCCGAAGTCCGCTGCCACACTGCGCGTACCGTTCGCAGATATACGTGGACCGGTACGAGCGCGACAAGCGGCAGTATACGCTCGTCATGCAGTCGCACCGGAAGGCACGCAGCCGGCCGGCCGGCGGCCGCGCCCTGCTGAGGTGGGGACGGTGAGGCCCTCGGAAGCGGCGGCGGCGACCCTCCGAGGGCGGCGGCGGCGACCCTCGGAGGCAGCAGCGGTGGCCCCTCGGTGGCGGGTCGCGGGTCCGCTGAAGCCCGACCCCCGCGGCCGTGTCCAGCTAAGCAGGCCGGCGAACGTCCGGCGCCGGTGGGCTGTGCTGGCTGGCCAGGCTCCCGCACTCTCAGGAGCGATGGGTGACCACTGCGGCGATGGTGGAGAGTCTCGGAGCATGCTGCCCGCCCATCTCGTGAAGCGCCCGGGTGCTTCCGAATGCCGTTGGGAGTGTCCGAGGCGCCTGTAGAAATAACAGTGCCGGCAGGGCGCCGCTGTAGCCCCGACTTGCCAGCGAGTGCTCAGGAGCGACCGGGCCGCAGTCGCTCTGTTGTGTGACGTCATCAGCCATGCTGAGTGGCGAGCTGGGCGCTCGCCGCCTTACACGCCATGACGTCACCGCTGGCTAATGACGTCACGTGTGATGTGTTGTTCCTGGTCACGACCGCTGCCGTATGGTAGTGCGGTCGGTTGATGTTGCTTTGATCTCATGTGGGACAAAATGGCAATGTTCGGTGTTGCCATGTTCAGACTTACTTCACATTATATCGGCGCTTGCTTTCTCCTACGATTATGACAGATTCCATCACGCCTTAGGGTGGTGTTTGGCCACCAGGCTGAGATGGCCACCAGATGCCGTCATGCCTCCGGGTGGGTCTGACCACCAGGCTGAGATGGCCACTAGATGCCGTCATGCCCTCGGGGTGGGGTCTGTCCACCAGGCTGAGATGGCCACCAGATGCCGTCATGCCTCCGGGTGGGGTCTGACCACCAGGCTGAGATGGCCACCAGATGCCGTCATGCCTCAGGTGGGGTCTGGCCACCAGGCTGAGGTGGCCACTCAGATGCCGTCATGTCTCAGGGCGGGGTCTGCCCACCAGGCTGAGATGGCCACCAGATGCCGTCATACCTCAGGGTGGGGTCTGACCACCAGGCTGAGATGGCCACCAGATGCCGTCATGCCTCCGGGTGGGGTCTGACCACCAGGCTGAGATGGCCACTCAGATGCCGTCATACCTCAGGGTGGGGGTCTGACCACCAGGCTGAGATGGCCACCAGATGCCGTCATGCCTCCGGGTGGGGTCTGACCACCAGGCTGAGATGGCCACCAGATGCCGTCATGCCTCGGGGAGGGGGGGGGGGGGGGTCTGGCCACCAGGCTGCAAGTCTGGGCGTACCATTGGGACGGTGGCGCTGTCGCGTTTTGGGGGACAGCGGTGCCATCTAGCGGCGGGCGATTGTACTGAACCACACAATTTTCGTGTGAGATCCGCTGTGTTTTGTTTTGTTAGCATATGCGTTCTTTGCTTTATCGTTTTGCCAATCGTATGAATGTTGCATTGTTACCGATGTCAATGTTTCGTGAAGAACCGAGCTGCCAGAATCACACCGAAAAGGGGAATGTCGGTGTTCGACACGGCGAATGTAAAATGCACGGCTGTTTGATTACTGAGAACGCCGTGCGTTGATTTCAGAAATAAATGAGGTTACATACCTGAAGCGATCCTTTTGTTCGTTTTGTTTTGTTTGCAAATTTCTGCATATGGGGTTGCTGCCTATCACCACTTGACATATCGGGGTAGACGGATGTGTACATCTGCCTCTTGAGATGTTAAGGTAGACCGATCCGTACGTCTGCCGCTTGAGATATTGGGGTAAACAAATTTATATCTCTACCGCTTGAGATATCGATGCAGGCAGATTTGTGCATCTACCGCTTGAGATGTCAAGGTAGACGAAGTCGTACATTTGGCGATTTCGTGCCCACTGGCTCACAGCCTGGCCCGCAACGCTGCGGTTAAAGAGCATGCCGCTGCAGGAGCGAAGCAGCAGAGACGGACACGGGGCTCACATGAAGCAGCAGAGACGGACACGGGGCTCACATGAAGCAGCAGAGACGGACACGGGGCTCACATGAAGCAGCTGAGACGGACACGGGGCTCACATGAAGCAGCTGCTGACAGTGACGGCCGAAGGTGATGTGAGCCAGGCGGCACAGCTTGCCAGGCTAGTCGCTCCCAAGTGAACAGGCAAGCATGCAAATGTATGTAAAAAAAATATGGAATCGATGACGGCTGGTTCAAGGTGCTGGTGATTCCTTTTGCTCAAAGTTCGTCGTAATGATTGTAAGTCTTTGCACGAGCGCAAGGTAAGCCCTGGTTGGTTGGATGTACGGTCCGAAGCATTTGTCCAATTCGAACAGCTATAAATTTCGGTCCACGCTGGTAATGGTAGGCGAGTCAGAACGGGTTGTTAGAAATGCATTTTTCAAGACTGATCGGAGAGATTGAGAGTTCTGATTGAGTTCAGAGTTATGATTGAGAGAACTTTAGAAAATTACCTACAGCTATTCCAGGCCACAAGTCGATGTCACACATTTGTTTGCCGTCGTAAAGTGACGGTCAGGAGTGGGACTTTGCATCTCTTAAGGGGGCCATATAACCCCCTGATGCTGGTCCGCTCCCCGCCCCAATGTTGGGGTGGGTTCCCGCAATATTGGGCCGCCTCCCTCCCTCCACCCAACACTGCGCATGGTCTCCAAAATGGAAGACCTGGCCACAACACTCGTTCTTTGAAATAAATGTGATTTAAAATGATGTACTTATAATTTGGCCACATGGAAAACATTTCAAATTCAAGGATATATGTGTGTGCTTCCCGGAGATATAAAAATTCGCACTGCTGAGCTTTTTCGCTTAAAATGTTCTTGTACTGTGCTGGCTAAATGAGGCTCAAGCACCACGCTCAAGGCAACCGTGGATGAATGTAAAGTTCAACCCCATCTGCAATCGGCTTCGTGATGTACAGGTCTGGTTGAACCACTGGCGCCCCACAGTCACAGTGCAAACGACAAAAACACTCCACAATATTTTAGACGTTCACTAATGGCGGGTCCAGGATTTCGTGCGTATCGCTGGGAGATTTACTTAACTTACACTGCAGCCCTGCCCTCGTTCGTGCTTGCTTGATTCGATTACGAACATATTCAACAGCTAGCTAGTGTCGTTGCCTTACACATATATCCTCTCCATGGTGATGGATCTCACTGCGGAAAAGATAGTTTAAAGCATGCGCGCTTTAAGCATATTGAAGGAGAAAAAACCGACTCTCGCCCCTGCAGTTACCATCGGCCTCCCTGTGGAAGGAATCTGATTTGACTTCCTGCTCACCACTGCGCTATGAAAGTAAAGCATTTCATTTGCCTTGCCTTTTCCAACGTGTGTGCTCTGTTCTATTTGTAGCACACTAAAATATCAAAATGTTAGTGATACGAAGGTTTGGAACACTGTTCATACAAGATATATGAAGACAGGAAACCACGATCCCTCAAATTCAACAAAAGTTAATACTATGCCTTTGATTTTTCCGTTATACCGTTTACCACATTCGCTCTTTTCGAGGCGTACTTTGGCTTTGGAAATGGGAGCATGACATGGTCCATCTCACACATTGATCCAAGCTTAAACCAATATGCTCCTCGGTAACAGGCCCTTGCCCGCTGGGCCAATCACAAACGTCCTTATGTTAAACACCAGTAGGGGTGCGCACGGTCGCTGTCATGACCACGGTGGTCGCCACTGAGGGAAAGAAGCGTGGTGCTGTTACAAAACGTTGAGAGCATAATTTGGATTAAAAATGATTAAAGGTGATATATTTGTTATGTTTTGACGGTGGTGCAGTAGCACTACCCAATGTTAATATAGAGCACAGCTTGTCATGAGGTTTCACCAGCGTGTGTTTCTGAAATATTCCACAAGGGTGGGGCACTCTCTTTTAAAAGGGCTTCTTATGGTGGAGAAGCAGCGGGGAATCCAATTCTCCCAAAAATCATACCAAAATGGAATATAAAATTTAAACGTTCTTCAAAGAGATCAACTTTTTCTGTTTCTTTTTTTTGACTGAAAGACAATCCAAAAGTTATCAGAAGATTTAATTCTTCATTTATCTAGGATTAAATGAAGTGAAATAAGCAGGGAATTAAATGACTGCTATCTGCGTAGAACAAACCGCGGGCGCTACTCAGTTCAAAATAATACATTCGGCCATTTCGATACAACGATAACAGTAAGGGGCGTTTCCGAACGTTGCCGAACCGAACCGAAAGACAATGAAGGGACATCGTAGCTTTACGCCAGCGTAGATCGAAACAGGGTCAACAATTCGCATTTGTATGTCCAACCATTGGTCGCCTGAGAAAATCCGCAATTTTTTAGTGTAGACAAGGGAAAATTATACAAGACAATTTTAAGCATGCACGCTTTAAGCATATTTAAGGAGAAAAAAACGACGCTCGCTCTTGTAGTCACTATGGGCTTCGCGGCTTCGGCACCGTAGTTAAACATTCTGCGCGGGTCAAGAGGAGGGCGAAAACGACCGCGTTTGGTGAAATATTACTTTGGAACACTTTATGAAATAAATTCGCATAGACGTGAAAGTATCCCTGGCCGTAGATTTCACGTGAGTAATTGTTATGTTGATATTCGTAACAGATGAGCACATACACCACCACGGAATCATCACACAATGGCGTAATCGCGATTGTTCGTGTTGCTTCAAGAGCTCATACCATTCAGAAAACCAACCTGGAAACCACACGAGTGAAATTATCCAGCCAGCAGCTGTGGGGCCTTTCCGTCCCAACGCGGGATATCTAGCGGCTGCTATTCTGGCGATACGGGGACCGTGGCGCCCCGGTCGATCCGGAGGCCTTCATAAGGATCCATCCGGTCCCGCGACACCGGTCCTGTCACTGAGGCCACGTGTCGCTTTGACCTGGGCATGTTGCGCATAATCGAAGCAGGGGCCGTTGCTGACGCCAAATGATGTCTTTACCGGCGCAGGGAGCATAATAAATGACACCGATACACCCATTCGGCTTGTTAGCCTCTGGTTGAAACGGTGCGCAGCGTCCCTCGCTCGGTGCTGAAACATCTGACTGACACAGATCAC